GCCTAAATTATTCTTATATTATTATTTACCTTAAATTGTTATTATATTAGTTTTTATCCTAAGTTGTTATTATATTGTTATTTACCCTAAAATATTATTATATTACTTTTTACTGTGAATTATTATTTACCCTAAATGATTATTATATTACTTTTACCCTAAATTGTTATTAATCCTAAATTATTATTATATTATTATTTACCCTAAATTATTATTCTATTACTTTTTATCCTAAATCGTTATTATATTATTATTTATCCTAAAATATTATTATATTACTTTTTAATAATGATAAATTAAATAAAAATCCATGATGTGTCACTCCATACCATTTAATAATAATTTTTAGAATTTAACTTACAAAATTCGTAATAAATGAAATAAAAATCCAAAAAATACACCGAAATTTGGTAGGAACTCTTTGTGACATTCTCTACGCTCTAAAAAAATACACTACATAAATCTGATGTCTAACTTGAACTTTATATGTTCCAGAGGAAGAGTTGAAAAAATTGATATGGCAACAATAAGAGAGCAAAGACAATATAACAGCAATCATACGGCAATACGTAAACCTGATGTTCATCTTCAACTTTGTAATTGCCAATACAGAGATAAAAAAAATTTATATGCTAGCAATAAGGGAGCAATAGAAAGGCAATATAACGACAATTAGATGACAATATGCACACCTGATGTCCAACTTCAACTTTATAATTGCCAATACATAGGTGAAAAAAGTAATATGGCAACAATAAGAGAACAATAGGAAGACAATGTAACAGCAATACATGGGCAGAATACACAATGTATACAATGTTCTCTTCAATGTATAATATAAGTAAAAGTATTTTTTCATTGTTCTATGGAAAAGAAGTATTTTTCTATTGCACACACTTGAGAATATAAAAAGAACGAATTCAAGACTGAAATTTCTCAAGTAAATTGAACTCAATTTCATTGAATGTGGACTAAATTACAAGACTAAAATATATAGTTCCTCAGTTACATGTTTTTTTCCATATAATTACAGCACACTTCTTGTGACGGAATACAATGTTGTCCCACGCCAAATTGATGATGGTTCTCAATGACAACAATGTTCTATATGTCAAAAATCTAGGTCCAACTGTCATTAAAAAAAAAAATAAAGAACCCTGCAAAAGAGATGGCAAAACAAGAAATTAGCAAAGAGGAGAAACAAAGACCAAAAAAACAAAATAGAAACTGAGACAAGAAAAAAGCAATCAGAAACTAAAAGACCTAAGAAACTCATACTAATTGGCAAAGAGCTTCCCAACCTAGAACACAAGAAGAGAAAATCGGAAAATGTGGAACACACAAAGCACAAAGAAACTGTTGAACTAAATAAGAGGGACATAACCAAACATCAAAACACCTCAAGGGGTGAACTTAATCAACCAACCAATAATCAATATAACCAAACAACATCCATAACATCAATACAGAACCAAATACAACTACAACATCCATAACAGCAATACACAGAACAATGAAACTAAGAAACAGCTGCATTCCAATCCGATAAGATTGAAGAAACATAACTATTCTTGTACAAAGTGATATTACGGGAACATTATTAGGAACAAAAAGAACCATTAAAAAATCATCAAATGGTTTGGCAAAAAATGGGGCAATATTGAATTGTCTGACTTAAGAAGCTCCACACGTACTCTATATAAGCTTCCTAAAGAAGGCAAAGTGAACAAAACAACCACAATTTTCTGAAGCAGTCCAATGTTCTCCATTTTCTAAATGTACAAACAATTCCATATTTAAAAAAAAACAAACCAATCCTATGTTTCTATATAGGTGAAAGAGAATCATGAATTGAAACAAATAATCTACAGGGGCACCTTTAGAACAATGAATTCAGATCCATATGTTACATTTTATAGCAAGCCATATCAGGGGAGGTCTACTTAATGCTCTTGCAATACTTCAAATTTTGCTCAAGCATCTCATGAAGATACATGTTTTCAGCTTTCCCATGTTCCAATACTTCAAATATTAACACCAAAAGATGTGTATTTCAATGGCTGATTAGCATCACACTCACACAAAATCTAATATAGCATAAGAAACAAGCACAAGCACATTCCCATTCATTTCAATTAATAACTCCATTTCCTAATATCAGCAAGTGGGTCCATCGAATAGTAAGCTAATCTTACAATTCAAAACAACCATGTCAACCAAGCGTAGGTACTGGTAATTTAGTAACACAACTTCCATCAATACTAAAAGAATTTAATAACTTGGTTTATTTTTATTTCAATAAATTACGGGTAAGATATTCTAATATCAAGAATATGAGGTAGTACCTTCTGAATGTCCTCAATCTCATCCTCTCTGCAGAAAACAATAAGTAAAAGAAAACTTAACATTAGTTGCACGGCTTGATGAAAATCGAATAGATAGGAGAAGCAAACTCTATGCTCCAAGGAGATTGATTAGTAATAACCACGCAGAAAAATTATGTTTCTCTTAAAAATAAATAAATAAACCATTAGCATGACCACAGGCAGAATGACTTCACTTAATTAAGTTAGTAAGTAAGCAGCAGCAACCATTTACAAAAGTACAGTCATGCATGACAATGCAACATTCAGAAGGTTGGTGATCTGAAAATCCAGTGTCATCTTCAGTCAGTAAAATGGTCCCAGAATGCTAATTCTTGCATTCACACTACATGACCAAATGTCACATCATGGGCAACTTAATGTCTAATTATATACACTCCCAAGTCACAACTGAGTCAGGCTGTTTCAAGTGCTCGGGCTATAACTACTTGGTCTTCATTTATGTAACAAAAGCATTAACTTTTTTTTTTCCCCAGTTCAAATCAACATTCCTTTTTGCCTTCACTAATAATATATTTATTAACACAATGTTGGGAAGTTTTGTGTGCTTTATGTAATTTTTTAGTTTATCATGTCTTCACCCACTAAAAGCAATGAAGGAAGAAAGAAAAGCAACTATTATGGCAATGGACTGGAGTTCATCCCATGTAGTTCAAACAACAAACACAGAACATTGAAAAACACAGGACAAAATATCACATCTTGTGGCAAAGATCAATTAAAAACTACAATAATACCATTATCAATGATCAATTAAAAACAAGTAGTCCACTTGATAATTCATAAAGCCACAGCTCATAAATTAGGCATTGAATGAATCCCTAAAGTAAAATTTCGAAAATTAACCCAACTGAATCCCTAAAGTAGAATTTAGAAAGAAAAAAAAATTGAAATTGAATGACCCGAAGAAGAAGAGAACCAGAGAAGTAGGTGGTTCAGGTCAGTGGTATGGAGGATTACTGAAATTTGAAGAGGGAGAAGAAGAGGACTTACAGAGAAGGAGAGGGAGAGAGAGAGGACCGTAGCAAAAAATGGAGCCCATGAATGCCACTACTGTTGCAATAATAAGAAAAGGGGATCAATGAATTATAACATATAGAGAGTACAAAACCAATATCAGAACTCACCGCTGTGGAGAACGACAATGGAGGTCGCGACTGTGGCTTGGCTGTGGAGTCGCGATAGTGGCTTCGCGGTGAGGTCGTCAACGGAGGTCCTGAGTTGCTGCGGCTTGGCTATGTCAAACTAGGGTTCCGAATTTGGTTTGGGAGAGTGCGAGAGAGGAGAGGAAGCGTCAGAAAATAAATTTTTGGGGTGATAAAGTGTCAATAATAAAAAAAAAGACTCAAAACCCTCTCTGTCTGTGTTGGTTGAGTTTGGTTTTTTGATAACCTCAAACCAGAGATGGCGAGAGAGAGAGAGAGAGAGAGAGAGAGAGAGAGAGAAGATGAACATATTGTAGAGTGAGTGGCTTGTGAGGAAGGAGAGTCAATCAGGATGAGAGAGAGCGTGCTTTGCACTTTCGGATTGCATCTTTTGGTATGGGTAATTTCAACCCGATTGTACTATAACAGTTCAACCATGGGATCGATCTAATGGCTATAAAGTGAACCCCTTATAACTTACCCCTTATAACTTACCCCTCATTATAGTCTGAGCCCAAACGTTGCCCCTAGTTTTAATGGGCTTGGGTCAAGTCTATTAAAACTAGACCATTCAGCTTCTTCTGATGTTAAATCATACAAAATAATATTTTCAAAAGTAACGCGCCAAACTGACAAAAGCAATTGTCTCATCACAACTGGCATTTAATTCGGCCTGTTAAAAGGAAAAAAACTTCCGAGCTTCTCATTTTCGAACTTCTTATTTTCTGAGAGAACTTTCACGAAATCCTTCCTGTCCCTTTCCAATGGCTCAAAAGAAAAAGAAAAAAAAACAGCGAAAGTCTCTACTGATATCCTCGACGGTATTTCTGGAAAAAGTGCGGCAAAGCATGCCGAAAAGTTTCGAGCGGCTTTAGAGCAGGAACAGTCGAAAAGCTCAGTAAGCTTTTACTCCTCCTTTCCCTTGAGCTTGAGAGGTCCCTTCAAGACTCCATTCTTAGGTCCCCACTACCATCAAGCCAAACCTGAGAGTTTACTGGCCCTAGACACTGAGTTGGTCCGAGCGCCATTTTCGTACGGTTTGGAAGATATAGACTGGGGTTCAAGGGGGGCGAATTTGGAACAGTTGGGTTCGAGTCCTGATATGGCTCTCCCCGAAGACTATCTCTCTTGGGCTGGCTGGGTGGATGAAATGTTGCCCCTGTTTAAGGATAAGTGGGTGCAAAACGGGATTTATTATGCCATTTTGCTGTCAAAAAATTGAAATTGACCTAAATCCCTCGTTTTTGGGATCTGCCCTTTGGTTTTGGGATAGTTCTTCCAACACTTTCGCCTTTGGTCCTGGCCCTATGACCCCTACTTTGTTAGACATGGCGGCCCTTTTTGGTTTCAGGCCTTCGGGCATGAGCATCAACGTTTTGGGGGACTATAAGATGAGGAATCGTAAAGTTGGGATTCCGATGAGGGCTAGTAGGACCGAAATTGTGCGCTTGAGAACCTATTCTGGGTTCATATGACGTATCAGGGAGTGATTGATCGCGACCAAGAACATATGACGTTCTTGCCTTTTTGGCTAAACAAGTTCATTTTTCCCCATGCTGATGGAGCTGTGAAGCCGGAATATATGCACTTGGCAGAGGCTCTTCACAATGAGACAGGCTTGGCTACGGGCCCTTTCATGTTGGCCTCCCTTTACCATTGCCTTTATCAAATCACCATCAACCCTCTGAATCTTGCCATATGTGGTCATATTTGGATGGCCCAGATATGGTTGGAATTTCCTGAGCTTGAGAATGAAAAGTTGGAGTATCTTGAAGATGAGGTTCTAGCCACCACGTTGGCTACCAACCCCAAGAGGTTGGTTAGCACTGAAGAATGTTTCTTCTTCTTCAGAGACTGCAAGCAAAGGCCTAAATCAACTTGGCTAGGTTCGCTATTCTGTGACATGCCTTGGTTTATAGAGAGGGCCTTCATGAAGCTCCTAGGCATTGGAGGGGGTTGACTGATTTCAGGTCTAAGCTCTATGCCGAGATGAGCGTCTCCTGTCAGTCCAGTTGAGATCTTTTCTTCGGCGGGGATTACACTGATAAGAAGTGCGCCTATGGGGTGGAGACCTATAAACCCCAGTTCGTGAGTAGGCAATTCGGGCTTGTTCAGGTCGTTCCAGAATCTTTCCATGACGCCTCAAGAAATTAAGGCTATGAGAACGTCCTGGAGGAACAGGAGTGACAAGGTGAGGGTGCCCCCCTATGATCCGTCTCCTCTTTGCACCCAGCTTTCCATAATTTTTGGGAAAACAGGCTGTTCTCTTGGCTTCCTGAGTCTGCCAAGCTTCTTTATGCTTCAGCCTTCTTGGACTGTCCTTTCGCCCGCACGATAAGAGAGCATGAAGAGGCGTCTTCAATTTAATTCTACGGCTAATAATACAGGTATGCACTTGAGGACCATATATGACGGTCCTCATAATAAAACGACTCCACTCGAACTTATTTTCTAATCCGCACTGGGCTAGAGCCCTAACATGGATCCGCCCTTCTGCTTCATCATTTTCTTTTCCACTATTTTGTCTTTTTGTGTGCGGAAAATGAATAGACCCAATTTCACATGGGAAATTTCTTGGCTTCTCCATGGAAAGATCCATTTCCTCTGACTTTATTTGAAATGTGCGCAGCCAATTTTTAAATCAGTATGTATATGTGTATAGAGTTGAACTTGTCCAAAAGAAAATTATGCAACCACTCACATAATTCACGTGACAATAAAATAAAATAAAATGCACTGATTGGTGAAAAGAATCATGTAGCTTTCTTTTATGGGGTTCTTCCTCCCTCATTGGTGAAAAGAGAAACCGTGTGCTCGCCACTACACGGTTTCCAAGTCTCTCGCTTTTCTGAGGCTGCTAGCTTTGTATCTTCTTGTTGGTTTCTTCGTCCACATTTCTGTTTATATGTTGAAGTTCGTATTTTTGTTCCTTCTAATGTTTATATGTTGAATTCCTCTGTTTCTCTCTGTTGAAATACAAAACATATATTAGTTTCCCAGTTCTCTCTGTTTCTCTATTGTTGTTTCCTTTTCTTTGCTCTGAAACTTGTTTCCTCAACGTCCTTATTTCTCCTCTGGTTTAAATTTTAATCCTTTTCTTTTTTGCCGTTTCTCATCATCTTTCTATTTAGTTAGCAAAAGGCTTATTTTCATTGAGTGTTTTCAGCAGCAGCAGATTGCCTAATGGCATTGAGCACCCAAAGAGACTCTGCCTTTCTTCCTTCACCTGATCAGCCTGCTCCTCAACCGAACCACGATGTGTTTTTGAGTTTCAGGGGTGTAGACACTCGAAAAAGCTTTGTATCCCATTTATACCACGAATTGCAGCTCAGGGGCATTAAAACATTCAAGGATGATCCTAAGATTGAAAGAGGGACACATATTTCTTCAGAGCTCTTCAATGCAATCGAAGAATCAAGGCTTGCAACCATTGTTCTCTCGCCAAATTATGCGTCTTCTTCCTAGTGCTTGGATGAACTTACAAAGATTCTCCAATGCAAGAAATCCAAGAACACCGTTCTGCCAGTGTTTTATCATGTGGATCCTTCCGAAGTACGAAAACAAACCGGTAGTTTTGCGTGCGCATTCACTGAGCATGAGGAAAGGTTTAGGGAAGACAGAGAAAGGGTGAAGAGCTGGAGAGCTGCTTTAACTGAAGTGGCCAATTTATCTGGGTTTTATTCAAAGAATGAGTAAGTTTTTTCATAAGCCATTAGATGTAACTTCATATCTTGTTATATGTATGTCTTATAATTTAGACTTCATGATCCTTTTACTTTTCCTCCTTGTAGGTGTGAAAGAAAGCTTATTGAAAATATTGTTGAATGGGTGTGGATGAAAGTACATCGCAGATTCAAATCGTTAGATTCCAGAGAGTTGGTGGGAATGAAGTTTATACGTGAGCACATAGATTTGCTTTTAGCTCATCCTACGGATGATGTTCGCTTTATGGGGATATGGGGGATGGGCGGAATTGGCAAAACAACCATTGCTAAGCTAGTATATGATAGCATTTCTACCCATTTTGAATCTAGCAGCTTTCTTGCTAATGTTAGAGAGGTTTCTCAACGTGGTTGTCTTGTTGATCTACAAAGACAACTTCTTTCCCCAATCTTAAAGGATCAAATTGCTCAAGTTTGGGATGAACAGTGGGGAACCTCTGTCATTAAGAATTGCTTGTATAATAAAAAGATTCTTCTCATTCTTGATGATGTGAGTGAATCAAGCCAACTTGAAAAGTTGGCTGGTGAAAAGGATTGGTTTGGTAAGGGGAGTATAATCATTATTACAACTAGAGATAAACGGTTGCTAGTTAAACATGATATACATATATCATATAAGGTAGAGGCATTAAGTGATAATGATGCTATTGTGCTCTTTAGTCCGAACGCCTTTAAAAAAAATGAGCCTGAGGAAGGTTTCTTGGAATTATCTAAGCGTTTTGTAAATTATGCCAAAGGCCTTCCACTAGCTCTTAAAGTTTTGGGATGCTTAGTGTATAAGAGAGATCAAGATGAATGGAAAAGTGAATTGGATAAGCTATGGAGAATGATTGAGCCAACAATTTTTTATTTGTCCAAACTAAGTTACGATGGACTAGATGAGATGAACAAGAACATTTTTCTTGATGTTGCATTTTTCCACAAGGGGAAGGGCAAGGATGAAGTAATTGAAATATTAGATAGTTGTGGCCTATGTGGTCATATTGGGATAAATGCTCTCGTTTAGAAATCACTCTTAACTATATCAAAACAGAATGTTCAGATGCATGATTTGATACAAGAAATGGCATTGGAAATAGTTCATCGAGAGTGTCCTGATGAGCCTAGTGGACGCAGTCGATTATGCAATCATGATGATATCTCTCATGTATTCATAAACAATACGGTAAGAAATTACGTAGAAAATAGCAAGTTTTGGAAGAAATATTATTTATTTTTAAACTGAAATTTGACTTAAATGTGCAATTAACTTTTCATTTACTATTCTTAATTACAGGCAACAAACAAAATTAAAGGCATTGCCTTACGAATGGCGAGACTTGAAAGGGCATATTGGAATTGTGAAGCCTTCTCTAAGATGTGTAACCTGAAAGTTCTTGAATTTTACAATGTGATCATTTCTTCAAGTCCCAGAATTCTAACTAATTCCTTAAGAAGTATCAAATGGAGTTTGTATCCTTCCGAATTTCTCCCATCAAGTTTTCAACTGAATTTCCTTATTGCACTTGAGATGCGTCTGTTGGTCCGTCGCAAATCTCGCGGCCTGGTGCTCGGGCCGAGGGGATGTGCGTCAACACGTGACGTCCTCCTTTTGGATGCAGTGCGGTTGTGCGCGGGCGTGCCAGCACGGTCTACCGTGCGTCGAGATGATGATGAGGTTCGGGTAGAAGATGGTTTAAATGTTGCGCTTGTTTTGCGTTTGACTCCTAATCAAACGATCGTGGCTGAGTGAGGAACGAATCTCGGCCGTCAAGTTCACGGCTTGAGCTACAAGGCCGTTTAGTGGTGGTGTTGGTGGCGGGTTTTAGGCGATGCTCCGGCGTGTTGCTCAGAGAGCGACGGTCGTATGATATATGGGGTGAGTGAGGCGATAACAGAGATGGTGCTCCGGCGCCTTGAAAATCAAGGGTCGTATGATATATCAATGAATGGATTTTTCTTACAGTCTACCACTACTCCTAAGAAAGCAAATAAAGGTATTGAAAGTGCATTACAGGAAAATATAATTTGCTCCGTGGGAGGCTTTTGGTTTTGGTGTTTGAACCCTTTGAATGTAGTCCTGAACTTAGTATTTATAGGAGTCCTGGAGGGACATTCGAGGCTGACAAGACCTGCGTGGTGGAGCCTGACGGGGGCAAGTGGGTAGTCAAATCGGCATTTGGGATCGTGAAGCATGGTGGTTTGGGGTTGACAAGCATGGTGGTGTGACCCCATAAATCTCGGCAAATCCCGTCCACCACCCTGATCGTGGGTTTTGCCCCCTTGGCCGTGAGAACGCATTTAATGCCCTGGTCTGGTGGTTGGGGATCTGACCCTAAGTCATAAGATTACTTGTGAGAATGTCTGCGCCTAACCACCTTGATTCCCATCACCAAATCCTGACTTCAGTCACCTCCCTCGTGCATTGAATGTTTCTTGTGACTAGTGGGTTTTGCTGTGAAGTCAGAGGCATTACTTCATTAAATGGAGCGTGGGGCCCTGAGGCCACGTGGAGATTTAACCACAGCTTTTTCAGACTGTGTCTTTTGCGGCCTTCGGCCTCGGCCTTCAAAACTGCGGTCTCGAGGCCGAGGGGATTCTGCCTTTGCAACTTTTCTTTTGCTCTTGGGGGGCAAAATGCTTGATGAAACGGTAGGCACCAGGGCCGAAGGGAAGTCCCTTCAATCAGTTCATGACCGTGTTTTATTAGGTACAAACATTGCCCCCACATCCCTGGATTCTTCGGTCGCGGCCCGGGCAGAGGTCGAAAGGATTCCAAGGGATGGACCCTTTGCATTTCCCCTGAAGTGATTGACAGTTGGTGCTTTAAATGCGTAGGTCAATTGGCGGATTAAATGCGCAAGCACGTCTCGCAGGCCATCATTGCCCAGACTTGCGCGAGCCGTCGTTTGGTCCTCTCAAACGAAGCGACGGCCTCTGGGCTTTCGACACGTCATCGCGCCTTTTGAGCACGCTTGTCAGGCCGTTACGTCTCTCGAGAGAGCCACGCCCTTTCGTTTCGAATTCTAGTGCCAATATAAAAGCATGTCCTTCTTCATTCCTTCCTTACGCTTTCAGAACCTTCAGACGCCTAAATTCTGCCAAACCTTTCTCTCAACTCTTCAACCCTTTCGAACTCCATATTTCAGCACCTCAACCCCTTTCTGCATAGTTATCCCCCTTTGTTAGTGACCACCGACTTCAGTCGCTTTTCTTGTATTTCTCTGAAAACTCTCGAACTCTTCGCCCCTTTTTTGAGCACTCGGCTCCCTGGTGTTCTTCGTGTTCATCACCCTTCCTTCGACTTTTTCCAAACATACCCTTACTTTAATCCGTTGCAATGACCTCTAACACCCCTACATCTGTTGAAGCTCGGTCCCAAGTCTTCCAGACTGAGTTCGAAAACATTTGCCGAGAAATCCAGGGCTCGGTCTTACCCAACATCGTCACACCTTGGACTGATGACGATGGCACCGCCACCGACTCCTACGTCCTCAGCCCCTCTGTAGATGGCGGGATGTTGGAGAGGCTGGTGGCTCATATGAAGAACAATTTGGTGGACCTCTTGGCCTTTGATGGGGGGGGACTTCCAAGATTGGAATGTCGCCAGACCTCAGCCCCAATGGCCAACCTCGACCCCGGACTGGGAGAAATGGCTGCCGAGGATGGAGCATTTCTTCGACTAGCAATGGAAGGATCAGGGCATCTACCACTTGATCAAGCTGTTCGACCGGCCGCTCGTCATGGATCGGTCGCTCTTGGCCGCGACCCTATGCTTCTGGTCGTCGGCCACAAATACTATGAACCTTCGGTTTGGTATGATGACGCTGACCGTTCTAGACATGGCTGCCTTATTCGGCCTCTCTCCCCTCGGTGTGGAAGTAAATGCCGCTCTGGTGGCCCCTGAGGCCGAATGGAGTTGTAAGTAGCTTGCTGGGAGCAAGGCGAAGAACATGCTCAACTATTCCAGCTTCTATAGAAACTTCGGTGTGGAGGACAGCGCTGATGACGATTCCATCGCTCCTTTAGGCGAGGTCGAGCATGCCGCGTTCTTGTTGTATTGGCTATGCAAGTTCGTGTTTTGCACCCAGGCGAACAAAGTCACCCTGGAGTTCGCCCACCTGGCCGACTATCTTGCGCAGGGCGGAAGGCTGGCGCTCGGCCCGTTCCTCCTCGGTCATATCTACCACACGCTTCACGACGTTGTCACGGACGGGATGAAGCCGAAGCACGGTCGTCCACTGTGGGCCTTCCAGTTCTTGCTGCAGGCGTATTTCCCGGACATGAGGGGAGCGGCCAATATTACCGACACCGAGCCGTTGGCCAATGCGTTTGCCCGGGTCCCCATGAAGCATAATACCTCGACTTCCTGTTATAAATTTTTCTATGGCTTGGTCAAGAGGACTGGGTCACAGTTCCGGGTGTGCCTTGCTCGGCCGTACCCGTTGTTCTTGGCACACGACCTCTCTGTGATCCCTGATGGTGAAACAGAGAACGATTTGAAGGAAATCTGGGGCTCCTTCCTGGTCGCGCGCGACCTTCACTGCGGCATGTCTAAGGCTGGGGCCGAGGTTTATCTGCCAAACTTCGTGGCGCGGCAATTTGGCTTGATCCAGACGGCACCACTTCCCCCGTTATCAACCAATCAGCTCTCGTCTTGGAGGGCCGACGTCGCCCAACAGCACGGCGTGGCTGGCATTTCCTTTCAGCTTCAAAAGGGAATGACCTTCCTCACTCTAACGCCTTGGCTGCGTCGTAATGCGTACGACGAGGATGGACGAGTCTGGTACGAGGAGTGCATCTCGGCCAGATTCATTCGGCCCGTTGAGGAGGCCGTGAGGGGGGCTCTGAAGAATGCAGACTGGGACCCCCTCGTCCCCAAGGCTGCCAAGGGGAAAAAGGCCCCGGCCGTGCTTCCTTGACCGAGCACGCCGGCCGTGGCTGTACCCAGGGTGGCGGCCCCTCCTTTGGTTAGAGCAGCGGTCGCGACCTCAACTGCGGCCCCGACCCCCAGAGCACCGGCTGTAGTGGGGGCGCAAAAAGCTTCGGCGCATAGGACCGTTCCATCTGCCCCGCTGGCTCGACCGATCGCTGCCATTGGTAAGCCCTCTATCTTTTTCGCTTTGCCGTTAGCTTCTCCGAGCCACCTCTGTCTTTGTTTACTTGCTTCTTACCTCTTTGACTTCTCCCTGTACACACAGCCCTGGGTCGCAAGAGGGATCGAGAGGCCCCAAACACAGGGGCCGCAGCGGTTGAGGCCGCGACGGTCGAAGATGTTGCAGTTGAGATGGCGGTGGTAGAACGGCCGAGGAAAAGGGTCCTCCTCATTCTTTCGAAAGGCCGAGGACGAGGAAGAAGTCCCCCCTGGGATTGTGAGCGACGCCCCTCTCGTGACCGTAAGTACTCCTCATTGATCACTTTTTTTTCTTCTTTTTCAGGCCACACCCTCCTCTTTCTTTTCTGATAATCTAGTCTTTTCCTTAGGGCGAGGCAGTGCCCGAGGAGTCGGCTGATGAGGTGGCCGCTGCAGAGGTAGCAGTTGAGGGGACGGCCACAGCCGAGGTGGCGGTAATGATGGATGCCGAGGCAACGGTTCCAGAGGTGCCAGCCACTGAGGAGGCCGCCGCGGACGTGCCAGACGACGAGGTCCTTGCCGTGGACCCAACGCAGGCCATCCCGGTGGAAATTCCTTCGGCCGCCTCCGTCGTGCCTACCTTGGTCGTACCACGCTCGTTGAGCCGTTGCCGTCCGCCCCTCGTCGTCCAGGTGGCATCATGATCCGCTCGGTAAGCATTTTGTTTTTACTGTACCTTCGTTTTATTTTCAGAATTTTGCCACGTGCCTTTGACCGAATTTTTGCTTCCAGCCTCCCCGGTCGTCACTGTCGCTACTCGCGGTCGCTGTAAGTATGCCCGCAGCACCGCGGTCCCAAAGCTCGACGACATTGACTGAGCTTGCAGCGGTCGAGGCTATAGCTACTGACGTGCCGAACCTGTCTCCTCGACGATTCTGACCGAGCTTGTGGCTGCATAAGCTCCTGGCGCGCCGTCGGCCGCTGAAGTGAGTGTTTAGATTTTCACCTTGTCACTTGCCATGTCCTAGTTGGTTGTTTCCCATTTTAACTCCCTTATTCCATTTTCAGGGAACCACCTCATCCGATGATCTCGAGGAGTTATATGCCAGTCTTCACGAAGAAGGAGGCAGCTCGGCCTCGGCCCCTTTGGACGAGGACTCTAGGGCTGTCATCCAAAGGCTCCGGGAGTACCTATTCCTTGGGGTTCACCAAATGACCACGACTGAGGCATTCATGGAGTTTAGGTCCTGTCTGGATACGGCCATGGCGTTGGGTCTGCTTGACTCGGCTCAACTGGACGAGCTACAGGCTCACTTGGCCGAGGGCGAGGAGATGATCGGTCGGTATGCTGAGGCGAACATAAGGATGACCGAGGGATGCTCACTTAAGCAAGAGCTGTCGGCGATAAAAGACCAAGTCCAACCTGCCATGGCTCGCTTGAAGGAAAATGACCTCGTCATCCAAAGAGAGAATGAGGAACTTGGGCAGGTCGAGGTTCATATTGCCGATCTCTAGGCCCGTCGAGATCTCATCCTTCAGTGCCGAGATGGTGCAGTCGCGGTCGGAACCGAGCTGAAGTCTTCGGCCAGGCAAATCCTTAAGGCGGCGACCGAGAAAAAGAAGGCATTGGCCGAGAGGAAGTTGATCCGGGCGAGGTGGCAGGCGGATATAGATGGTGAGAACATTGCCTGGAGGAGGATAACGTGCCTAATCTGGGGGATGTTTAGTGAAGGGGTTTAGGTGGGCGGCCGTTCAAGGATTTTGGGATGTAATAACTAAAACCCCTCTTTTTTCCTCTTCCCACAGATACAGATACATGCAAATGTATATATTATTATGTTTTGTGTTGTGATCGGTCATGACCGGCCGTTTTTTTTTCTCTTTTGTAAAAAAAAAAAAAAAAACAATCTCTTGTCTAAACGTGGGCCTTCTTTTCTGATTAATTGAATGTGTGTCATTTGCTTTATATTGGCCGCGCCGTTTATTTAGCTTGCTCGCCCACTTCCCCCTTTTTTCTTTTTGACTTTTTTGTCGTAGGCCTTCGGTGCCATTTTTTTCCTGAACTCGCGCCAAACTGTAAGCGGTGAGTCTTGACTGTTCTAACTTTCCTAAACTCCGGGGCACGGTTTGCGCGCAGCTCTCCGTCTTTCACCTCAGCTGTGCGAAAACTTGAAGACATCGGACCTCTAGCTCCATTAGTTTATGAATGTCATGGCCGTAGGTCAAGATATAGGGAAATGTGCTCATGGAGTGCTTTGATGCGCGGCATGCCCAAGAAGCCCTAGAGAGCAAGTCACGCCAACTCCTGGCCTCTCCGAGCGGGTACAGCTCAGTGGAACTCGCTGCCCCCGGCCGTCTCTGGGCTGAGTCATCCTTGGTCGTACGCCGAGCGTCTTCGGTCAGAGGGTCCTGAGGGGGCGCTTCTCGTTGGACCGCGACTGGCCGTGGAACTTGTTGCCCCTCGTTCTGCGGCCTTACCTGCTGGGCCACTTGAACGGGGGGTTCGGCTGTTGCGACCGAGCTGGGTGGTACCAGATATGCGCCGTAGGTTTGACCGGGGTTCGAATGGGTTGTTGTTGGAATGGCCGAAACGTACTGAAGATGGGAGCCTGACCGTATTGCTGTGATGAAGCAGCGGTCGAGTTGCTTGGGCCGGGATGGGTCTGGACGGCCACAGTGTGGACTGGGCCGAGTTGCTGGACCGCGGACTGTGCGGGGCTGCTTTGCCCCAGTGACATGGCCAAAGCATGGAGTGGGCCGTACGTCGTCTCTACCGGGTAGGTCGGTCCGGGATTTACCCATGTTGGCTGGGAATGCCCTCAGTTGTTTGTCGGCGGCTGTGAATGCTAGCCGTAATTTGACGCTTAGGTGCAGCCAGAGACGCCGAGGCTACTGCTCTCGCCGTATGACTCAAACCTCTCGCGCTCTTGGCCTCTCTGTCCGGCTCTGGGAGGCATTGCGGACGATGTCACCGGCATCCTCTCCTGAAAAAGCGTCTATAGCTCCGAGGAGAATCTGTCCATTGCGGCCATAAAGGATGTTTCTATCCTGTAGGCCTGCTTCGCCATCAGATCTTCGACGACTGCTTGCTCGCCCATGGACTCGGCCGTGCGATCCATCGTTATTGGACCGCTGGCCGAGGTTCTGACCGCGTGTTCGGTCTCGGTGACAGTGATTGGTGAGGTGGACTCAGGAGCCTCGGAAGTCATTTCGACTGTTTTGTTTTTGAGTTTTGCCTGTGCCCTAGTTTCCACCATAAGTTTTTTGACAAATCCCACCGGGCGTGCCAAAAGTGTTGGTCCGTCGCAAATCTCGCCGCTTGGTGCTCCGGGCCGAGGGGATGTGCGTCAACACGTGACGTCCTCCTTTTGGATGCGGTGCGGTTGTGCGCGGGCATGCCAGCACGGTCTACCGTGCATCGAGATGATGATGAGGTTCAGATAGAAGATGGTTTAAATGTTGCGCCTGTTTTGCGTTTGACTCCTAATCAAACGATCGTGTTTGAGTGAGGAACTAAGGCCTGAGCTACAAGGCCGTTTAGTGGTGGTGTTGGTGGCGGGTTTTAGGCAGTGCTCCGGCGCGTTGCTCAGAGAGTGACGGTCGTATGATATATGGGGTGAGTGAGGCGATAACAGAGATGGTGCTCCGGCGCCTTGAAAATCAAGGGTCATATGATATATTGATGAATGGATTTTTCTTACAGTCTACCACTACTCCTAAGAAAGCAAATTTGAAAGTGCATTACAGGAAAATATAATTTGCTCCGTGGGAGGCTTTTGGTTTTGGTGTTTGAACCTTTTGAATGTAGTCCTGAGCTTAGTATTTATAGGAGTCCTGGAGGACATTCGAGGCTGACAAGACTTGCGTGGTGGAGCATGACCGGGGCAAGTGGGTAGTCAAATCGGCATTTGAGATCGTGAAGCATGGTGGTTTGGGGTTGAGAAGCATGGTGGTGTGACCCCCATAAATCTCGGCAAATCCTGACCACCACCCTGATCGTGGGTTCTGCCCCTTTGGCCGTGGGAATGCATTTAATGCCCTGGTCTGGTGGTTGGGGATCTGACCCTAAGTCATAAGATTACTTGTGAGAATGTTTGCGCCTAACCACCCTGATTCCCATCACCAAATCCTGACTTCAGTCACCTCCCTCGTGCATTGAATGTTTCTTGTGACTAGTGGGTTTTGCTGTGAAGTCAGAGGCATTACTTCATTAAATGGAGCGTGAGACCCTGTGGCCACGTGGCGATTCAACTAGACCTGGCAATATTGTACACGACACGAATTCGCAAGAAATTATCAGTATTTGGGTTGAGCTTAATGGGTTGGGTTGAAAACGGGTGAACCCGTTAGCCACCCGTTAAGCTAACGGGTCGTGTCGGGTCGAAAACGGGTTAACCCGTTAACCACCCATTAAAGAGGTTAATTTTGTAATTATGCAAAATATATATTTTTTCTTTTACTCTTCCTCTTTTCCTCTTTAGTTTTCTTCTTTCTTTTTTGTCTTTTTCTTCTTTCCCCTTTTCCTTTTCTTCTTCCTCTCGTTCTTCTCTTCTTCTCTTCTTCTCTTCTTCTCTTCTGCTCTTTTTGGTCAAGGACTGCTACACTCCAGACAAGGGGGAAAGGAAAATGAGAAAAATAAAGAGGAAATAAACGAATTATCATATCTGGTACCTTGGGTTTTGAAATCTTAACACCATAAAGTTCACTAAAGCTTTTGACCAAGAAATCTCGTCACTCCCTGAATGCTTTCACCATAATAGAAATTGCCTCTCCATCAACATAGCCAAGACCTAGGGCAGTAACTGCTGCTTTTTGTGATATGCTACTGGCACCTGAGGTGAACTATGGCATATTACAGTGGGGTTAGCTCTTCTGCACTTATTAATTGGCGAGGGCAGTTCTTTAATTGCAATCCCATCTAAGTGAAGCACTTGTAGCTCCTCCATAATAACTGAAATCTCTGGAAACTTCTCAAGACTTGAGCTGCCAGAAAGAGTTTGGGGGAAAAAAGACAAAGAATGCGGTGTTAGCTGGCTAGGTAGAGAAGCCGTGTTGTTCCCCTTTTTTTTTCTTTTTCTTTTCTTTCTTTCTTCTTAACGGGTCGTGTCGGATATTCGTAAATTGTAACGGGTCGTGTTTGGGTCTAGGATTTGTCACCCGTTAACTTAACGGGTCGTGTCGTGTTAACCCGTTAACTTAACGGGTTGACACGAACACGACCCGAAACCCGTTAATACAACCCGTTTGCCAGGTCTAGATTCAACCACAGCTTTTTCAGACCGTGTCTTTTGCGGCCTTCGGCTCGGCCTTCAAAACTGCGGTCACGAGGCCGAGGGGATTCTGCCTTTGCAACTTTTCTTTTGCTCTTAGGGGGCGAAATGCTTGACGAAACGGTAGGCGCCAGGGCCGAAGGGAAGTCCCTTCAATCAGTTCATGACCGTGTTTTATTAGGCACAAACAACGTCACAGCAAACTTGTTCGGCTTTGGGATGGAAGAAAGGTAAGAGTAGTGACCATATGTCATTCTAGAAATTAGTTTATTTTATTTTATTTTAAATATTTTGTTTTAAAAATTAAAATAAATCTGAGCTAATTATGTGTTCTACCATTGTTTATGAATTGTACAGGACTTGCCGAACTTTAAAAAAATGGACCTTCGTTACTCTAAAAACTTGACCACAACCCCAGATTTCTCTGGCATTCAAAATCTTGAGGAGTTGGATTTTGGAAGTTGTAAGAATTTGGTTGAGATTCACCCATCAATTGCAGATCTCAAATGTCTTAAAAGCTTGGATCTTGGTTTTTGCTCAAAATTGAGAAAGATTCCAGAATTTTCAGGGAAAATGAAAAATTTGTCATCACTTATTTTACAGGCGACGTCCATTGAGAAATTACCTTCATCAATAGGATGTCTGGTTGGCCTTACTATTCTGTTTCTAATGGATTGCAAAAATCTCTTGGGTCTTCCGAGTGAAATTTGTAATATGAAGTCACTTAGTGTACTCCATGTGAATGGATGCTCAAAAATTGACAAACTCCCAAAGAAGTTTGAGAAGATGGAATGTTTACAGTTGCTTCAATTGGATGGAACTTCCATAAGACAGCTGTCGCGCTCCATTGTTGGTTTGAAAAAACTGTGTTGGGTTTGCTATGGGGGGAAAGTGTTTCATCGCCTAATCAAGGATTAATCGTTTTATTAATCCCCCAATTTTGACCAAATTTTCATTTGAGTACCTCAATTTCCAAAATGGTATATGTGGTCCTTTAACTTTAGTTTCGTTTGGACAACTAGTTCCATCGTTACTTTTGTCAATTTTTTCGTTAAATTTAGGGGTAAATGGGTCTTTTTAGGTTGGCTTTGAGGGACAAAAAAAACTTTTACTCTTTTAGATTCTTTGAGAGAACCAGGAAAGACCCTTGAGCGAAGACGCCCACTTCATCTGCTATGATGCCCAGACTATCGGAGTGGCGAATGGCATCGGCGGTTGGGCCAGGAAAGGCATCGATGCCAATGAGTACGCGAGGGGACTTATGAACCACGCCAAGAAAATAGCCACGGATATAACCCGATCCTCCGCCGCGGTCGTGGATCCGAGAAATGTGTTGAACGAAGTCTTGGGGTGGTTCTGGTGAAGCCAAAGTACGGCCGTGTCGAACTTTGTGTCACAAAAACAAATAGAGTCGACACTGAAGATGAGCTTGAGGGTGGTAAGGGGATTGTGGGATCAGGCTAAGGGAAGAAGTTGCTTCAAATATTTAAGGCAGGGTGGATTAGTATACCTCCAGTCGTCTGGTATGAGGGCGTTGAAAAAGAGATCCGGGCAGGGGTCACCGTAAGAGGAGGAAGAAGGAATAAAAGGGCAGGTCTCCTTTTTGTTGGCCATGTTAGCATTGGAGTTGGAAGTAGCCATTAATCTTTTTCTTCTCAAGATTGGGACTAGAATTGGTGTGGTTGCAGCTACTACTAATTGTGGTGGTGAAGAAATGAAAATATTGCCACATAATTTGCCTTTGCTAACGACATTGACAAGGTTTCGAGGGCATCCTCCTAGTGCTACTTTGTTCGGATTGGGAACAATCCTCGCACTCTTCAAACACACTTGCCCCGCCACCACTAGGTTATTCATCTCAATCATCATCTCTATATATATTTGATGTCATTTCAATTTGAAAACTGACAGTTGTTGGTTGGTTGGTGATCTATCTCCTCTGCTGAGACGACTGAATGATTTTCTTGGCTAGATTTGTTGGAGAAAATGATTCTAGAATTGATTATGGATTCTGGTAGTGACTTGGGCGTCGACGCCGACGAGTAATCTGCTCTCCAAGCTTCCAAACTTGACGATTCCAACTTTTACTCAACCAATATGCGAGTTGCAGAAGCAGATTGCAATTTTTGGTTCTTTGGGTTTTTGGTTGCAGGCTCTTCAAGGTCTTTTTCAGAGGGATGGCAAGTTGCAGAATGGGGATAATAAAACCAACCTGAAAAGACCCATCTACCCTTAAATTTAACGAAAAAATTGACATAAGTAATGGTGGGACTAGTTGTCCAAACGAAACTAAAGTTAAAGGACCACGGGTACCATTTTGGAAATTAAGGTACTCAAATGCAAATCCGATCAAAGTTGGGGGACTAATAAAACAATTAACTCAATGTAATTTTTTTCCCAATAGGGTAATGTCATCGCCTTCTTCCATAATTAAAAAAACAATTATTTAAAAAAATTAAAAAAAAGTATAGATAACTATAAAGAAACCCATTTCTAGATATAGAATCATAGAGATACCCTACATGAAATTGACTTTATAAACACACCATACCTTACATTAGATAGACTTTATAAACACACCCTACTATTGCCAGCCTTTTTTATTTTTTATTTTTATAGTTTACTTAATATACAGACTTCCTGATTTACACTTTAGTGTGAAGTTCATATAAAAAAACTCAAAACTGGATTATTACTCACCGGTTATTTCTCTCTCTCTCTCTCTCTCTCTCATCGGTCAATTGCAGCCAGATACGGTCTCGTGCGCCCTCTTCTATGTCCGTCTCTGAAACCAAATGTATAATCCACGCCAACGCAGCGAGAAAGAAGAAGCCTCACAAATCTCTCTGGTGCAAACGAGGACATATTTCATCAAAAAGCACAAAGCAACATAGCACAAGAAGTAGCAGCCTCGATATGATGATTTGATGGGATGTTTCTTTGATTTGCTATCCTTTTGCATATGGAAAACCAGTCGGAAGATGGCTCCTCTTGATTTTGGCGTCAATTAGCCGGCTTGCTTCCGTACTGAGAGAGACGGTGATCAAGTCACTCTTAATGGGGAAAACCCGTTTTCAGAAGGTCACGTAGGTCAACTTGGTAAATGCTACCCATTCTCTGACTTTAGTGTGGGTCAAGGCTGAGATACTTTGAGTTATGGGCATTTAAGTGAATTTAAACCAAGTAATGGCCCAAACACAAAAACAAAAGCCCTTTGTGTTGGTTTTGAAAGAATGAAAGTGGACTTTGGTCTAATGTAATTTTAATATTTTAAAAAAAAACCAACTTTGGTCCATTTTCAATATAGTACAAAAAGAGATGCAATGCAATAATGGATGCCTAAAGTTTTAGTCTAAAATATTTGCTAGGAAAGGACGAGACCCTTTGACTATGTTATCTGCACAAATTGCTTTTCAAATTTTAAATTTTTACTAATTACATTTTTCGTTTCCTTTCTCATAGTAAACAAAAGTTTTTATTTATTTATCTCTTTATTGATCTAGACGGAAAATCCTTGATGCCTTAAACCAAATTTTACGCCATATATATTGTGATGAAAAGATCAAGTAATTGCCACCATCTAATGTCTTAGTTTCCACGCATCTGAAATCCTTCGATCTGAATACTTATTTCATGGCCCTCGGACATATGAGCAAATCTGTCGGGCAAAACGGAGAACAAAACTAGAATTAACTTCTTGAAGAAAAAGACACGGGTAATGTTTGTTGTGTAAAAGGTGGGTGCGGCTGTGCTAAGCGGTTGTGGCGTTGTTCTTTTAATTTCAAATCTGGACGGTTCAATTTAATTCTACGGCTAATAATATAGGTATGCATTTGAGGACCACATATGGCGGTCCTCATAATCCAAATAACTCGCCTGATCCAATCAAAAGAAAGGACTCATCGAAAAGCAAAAGAATCATGTAGCTTTCTTTTATCATAAAAAAGAAAAAAGAAAAAGAAATGACTCTCATTGGTGAAAAGACAAACCGCGTGCTCACCACTACACGGTTTCCAGGTCTCTCTCTTTTCTGGGGCTTGCTAGCTTTGTTTCTTCTTGTCGGTTTCTTGGCTGATCTTGAGAAGTATATTTTGTGAGGTTCTGGTTGGCTTGCTGGTCTTACAAATTCTCTGGCTCTGTAATTTTTTCGAGGTTGAGGTAACACTAAGCTAAACTTGTTGGCTTGCTTCGTCCACATTTCTGTTTTGTTCAAGTAAAACATTAATTTCTGCATTATATTTTTGTTTTAAATGTATTTTTGTTCCTTCTAATGTTTATATGTTGAATTCCTCTGTTTCTCTCTGTTGAAATACAAAACATATATTAGTTTCCCAGTTCTCTCTGTTTTCTCTTATTTTCATTGGGTGTTTACAGCAGCAGCAGATTGCCAAATGGCACTGAGCACCCAAAGAGACTCTGCCTTTCTTCCTTCACCTGATCAGTCTGCTCCTCAATCAAACCACGATGTGTTTTTGAGTTTCAGGGGTGAGGACACTCGAAATAGCTTTGTGTCCCATTTATACCACGAATTGCAGCTCAGGGGCATTAAAACATTCAAGGATGATCCAAAGCTTGAAAGAGGGACAGCTATTTCTTCGGGGCTCTTCAACGCAATCGAAGAATCAAGGCTTGCAATCGTTGTCCTCTCGCCAAATTATGCGTCTTCTTCCTGGTGCTTGGATGAGCTTACAGAGATTCTCCAATGCATGAAACCCAAGGGCACAATTCTGCCAGTGTTTTATCGTGTGGATCCCTCCGATGTGAGAAAACAAAGCGGCAGTTTTGCGTGCGCGTTCGCTGAGCATGAGGAAAGGTTTAGGGAAGACAGAGAAAGGGTGAAGAGGTGGAGAACTGCTTTAACTGAAGTGGCCAATTTATCTGGGTTTGATTCAAAGAATGAGTAAGTTTTTTCGTAAGCCATTTGATGTAACTTCAAGTGGCGAAGTTATATGTATGTCCTATATTTTAGACTTCATGATCGCTTTTACTTTTCCTCCTTGTAGGTGTGAAAGAAAGCTTATTGAAAATATTGTTGAATGGGTGTGGGAGAAAGTGCATCACAGATTCAAATTGTTAGATTCCAAAGGGTTAGTGGGAATGAAGTTTATACGTGAGCAAGTAGATTTGCTTTTAGCTCATCTACGGATGATGTTCGCTTTATAGGGATATGGGGGATGGGCGGAATTGGCAAAACAACCATTGCTCAGCTAGTTTATGATAGCATTTCTACCCATTTTGAAGTTAGCTGCTTTCTTGCTAATGTTAGAGAGGTTTCTCAACGTGGTAATCTTGTTGATCTACAAAGACAACTTCTTTCCCCAATCTTAAAGGATCAAATTACTCAAGTTTGGGATGAACAGTGGGGAACCTCTGTCATTAAGAAATGCTTGTATAATAAAAAGGTTCTTCTCATTCTTGATGATGTGAGTGAATCAAGCCATCTTGAAAAGTTGGCTGGTGAAAAGGATTGGTTTGGTAAGGGGAGTATAATCATTATTACAACTAGAGATAAACGGTTGCTAGTTAAACATGATATACATATATCATATAAGGTAGAGGCGTTAGGTAATGATGATGCTCTTGAGCTCTTCAGTTGGAACGCCTTTAAAAAAAATGAGCCGGAGGAAGGTTATTTGGAATTGTCAAAGGGTTTTGTAAATTATGCTAGAGGACTTCCACTAGCTCTTAAACTTTTGGGATGCTTAGTGTATAAGAGAGATCAATATGAATGGAAAAGTGAATTGGATAAGCTGCAGAAAATTCCTAACTCACAAATTATTGATTTGCTCAAAATAAGTTACGATGGACTGGATGAGATGAATAAGGATATATTTCTTGATGTTGCATTTTTTCACAAGGGGATGTTCAAGGAGCGTGTAGTTGAAAGACTAGACTGCTGTGGCCTATGTGGTCATATTGGGATAAATGCTCTTGTCCAGAAATCACTTTTAACTATTGATATTTCAAATAACACGGTTGAGATGCATGATTTGATACAGGAAATGGCATTGGAAATTGTTCGTCGGGAGTGTCCTGATGAGCCTGGTAGACGAAGTCGATTGTGCAATCGTGATGATATCTCTCATGTATTCATAAACAATACAGTAAGAATTATGTAGAAAATACTAAGTTTTTAAAGAAATATGATTTATTTTTATCTTGAAATTTGACTTAAATGTGCAATTAACTTTTCCTTTACTGTTCTTAATTACAGGCAACATACAAAATTAAAGGCATTGCCTTACGCATGGCGAGACTTGAAATGGTAGATTGGAATTGTGAAGCCTTCTCTAAGATGTGTAACCTGAAAGTTCTTGAATTTGATAATGTGATCATTTCTTCAAGCCCCAGAATTCTTCCTAATTCCTTGAGAATTATCAAATGGAGTTGGTATCCTTCCAAATTTCTCCCATCAAGTTTTCAACCGAATTTCCTTATTGCACTTAAGATGCGTGAGAGCAAACTTGTTCGGCTTTGGGATGGAAGAAAGGTAAGAGTAGTGACCATATGCCATTCTAGAAATTAGTTTTTTATTTTATTTTAAATATTTTGTTTTAAAAATTAAAATAAATCTGAGCTAATTATCTATTCTACCATTGTTATGAATTGCACAGGACTTGCCCAACTTGAAAAAAATGAAGCTTTTTGGCTCTAAAAACTTGACCACAACCCCAGATTTCAGTGGCGTTCCGAATCTTGAGTTGTTGGATTTTCAATTTTGTAAGAATTTGGTTGAGATTCACCCGTCAATTGCAAATCTCAAATGTCTTAAAAGCTTGGATCTTGGTTATTGCTCAAAATTGAAAAAGATTCCAGAATTTTCAAGGCAAATGAAAATTTGTCAACGCTTAATTTAAGTGGGATGTCCATTGAGAAATTATCTTCATCAATAGGATGTCTGGTTGGCCTTACTGATCTGTCACTACAGTATTGCAAAAATCTCGCGGGTCTTCCGAGTGAAATTTGTAATTTGAAGTCTCTTACTGATCTGTCACTACAGTATTGCAAAAATCTCGCGGGTCTTCCGAGTGAAATTTGTAATTTGAAGTCTCTTACACACCTCGAGGTGAGTGGATGCTCAAAAATTGACAAATTCCCAGAGAACATGGGAGAGATGGAGTGTTTACATACGCTTCATCTGAATGGAACTGCTATAAGACAGCTGCCACGCTGCATTGTTGGTTTGAAAAAACTGAGGGATCTATCTTTGGATGGAAGAAGTGGATCACAACCTAATAAATCAAGGTTTTGGTGGGGCCTCCCCCGCTTAAATGGAAGAAAGGCATTTGTGTTGGCTTCGCTTGATGGTTTATTCTCTTTGAAGTATTTGGATCTAAGTAATTGTGGCGTTTGTGAAGGGGATCTTCCCAGTGATATTGGTTGCTTGTCCTCTTTAGAAAAATTAAGTCTTAGTGGAAACAATTTTGTTAGCCTTCCTGCAAGCATTGGATGTCTTTCTAAGATTAAGTCATTTTGGGTGAATGGGTGCCAAAGTCTTGAACAATTGCCAGATCTTTCTAAGCTTATCTCATTGGTGGATATAAACATAGCCAATTGCACTTCCTTAAAAATGTTACCACATCTTTCGTCAAATTGCTCATTAAAGAACAGAATACATTTTAATTGTGCCAATTGCTTTGTATTGGTTGACAATGAAGGCTGCGACAGTATAATACTGAAAATGCTACAGCGATACCTTCAGCCTCGGGTTCTCTCTCTGTCTCTGTCTGTCTCTCTTTTGTTGTTTGCTGTAATAATAATTACAGCTTACTAACCTCGTATATATCTATGTATATGGTACAGGTACTCCGTTTTATTAGGCCTCTTTACGGATTCACAATTTTAACTCCTGGAAGGAAAATTCCAGAGTGGTTCAGTAATCAAAGTTTGGGAGATTCCCTAACTGTGGAGCTACCTACCAAGTGGATGGGAATTGCTTTTTGTGTGGTGTTTGAAGTTCAGGCTAATCTTTCTGATGTTCATTATGTTCGAATTAGCTGTTCCCCACAAGGAATGCGGACACATGGAGTATTTCCAAAAGAATTTACTATATTCGATGTTGTGTCAGATCACCTTTGGGTAATTTATGTATCTCGTATACAATCTGAGAAGATATGCGGTCAGATAAAGTTTTTGTTCACAACTTATTATTCTCATCAAGACATAATGCTGGAACACAAAAAATCTTGTGTGAAGAAGTGTGGGTTTCGTTTGGTGCACGAGCAAGATGTGGAACAACTCAACCAGATCATGATGAACAAATCCATCATCAAGAGCACTACTACTTGTCCTACCAAATCAGCTGATGCACAAGGTCAACAACACCATGATGACGAGGAGGCTAGTCCTAGTGGAAGTGGTAGCTCTCACCAAAAATCTCTCTTCTGCAATACCTATGCTCTTTCCAAAAAGGCAGACCAAGATGAATTAAATGATGTTGTTGACGAAGCTCGGCCCAGAAAAAGAAAAAAGATCGATGTGATTGGGACTAACCTATGATTCCTCACTTTCAAAGCAAGAGGCATCACAGCTGCTGTATTTCAATGTGAGTTGCTTCATTTGCTGATTCTAGTTTTCATTTTTTTGGGGATTTAACGTGCTATTGTTTGTTCCACTGCTTGTGCTTCATTCTTTTGGCCTTATATTGCTCTAAGTTTTGTTTTTCACCTATTGCTCCTTCATTTGGTTCTCCCACTGTTTTTTTTATTTAGCTCTATTCCTTGTTTTGTTTTAGGAGCATATCTGAATTTCTCTCAACTTGTAAAGATTTTCTCCCTCTTTTTAACAACTGCACTTTTTATGAAAATTTTCAACTACAGCAGGGGCTGCATAGGACTTTTGATTTGCTACTTAGGTCTTGCCCCCTCTTATTTTTCGCTATTGTTGAAAAGTTTAATAAAAACTGTTATTCTTAAAAGAGGAGCTAAAATTTTGCTACCTTCGTTAAAAACTCCTCAAATATCTGCACCTCAGTACTTTAAAGGCCAATAACACTGCTCTCACAATGGATATTATTAATAAGTCACCACCATCTGTCTCCCTACATTTTCTTTTCTAGCCATACATTTATCATTAGATTCATATCTTCGATGATAATTCCTCTGCTCTCTCTCTGTCTCTCTGTCTCTCTCTATCTCTCTCTCATGTACATTTGTCATCTTGGTTGATAACATGAGCTTTTTGCATCTGAAAAAGAACATTTCTTTGTTAACTACTGCAGAGCACTAATTATCAGGTTAATTAACTCATGTTGCTGCATATTATATAGCACTTGAGCAAAGTATCTGTTAACATACTGCAAATCATTAAGTAGTTACTTTCAGCAAAAAAGTATATGTCTTCCATGATCTCATATCGTAAGATAGAGTGAATGGTTGTTGTTTTGTTTGTTTCAATGATATATCTTCCAACAAGTGAATGGTTGTTTGTTTTGTTTGTTTCAATGATATGTCTTCCAACACGTTTCAATGATATTAAGTAGGAGAGGAGAACAATTTATCTTGCTGCTTTTTTTTATCATTGCAAAAGTATGTATATGCAAGATTTATGATGCAAATAAACAAGACATACTCCTAACTTTTTTTTGTTTCTGCATTCAAGTACATATTACAAGACTACTGCTGTTGAAGCCAGCCAATTGTGTCCTGTGGTCAACTGAAATTTGGGTTCTTGATGCCATGGCCGATATTGGGCACACTGCTATTTCATTGATCATATCTTTGATAGTTTGTGCAATCTCTCATTCAATTATGCATTCTTCTCTTATTTAGCATCTCTCAGTTTCAAATTATGCAACAGAATAGAATTCATGAGAGATTCATTAACATCCCAATAAGTTGAGCAGAATTTGGCAGTGCTAGTTGTGTCTTGAATAAAATTATAGTAACTTTTTCATTGTAAAATATTTGGAGAAATGGAGTTAAGAAGTACCACATGATTGATGAATTCAATCTGGTCATAATCCTGTACTGGGAAAACATTTTGGGGCTGTCAGTTTGTTTTATTGTTATTAGGAGAAATTTCAGAGCTATAAGAAGACTGACATTACTACATATGATATAGAGTATCAAAATCACAAAACATTAAGATGTATTGTAAGCTATAGGGATATTGTTCAAAAAGGAACAAGAAGGGTATCCCAAATCAAAAGGGAAATGCAATGTCGGACAGGCAGGCTAAAAACTCAGCAAGCGACAAACAGAGCCCAATTAAGAACAACAGAGCCGAACAAACATCCACGAGGCTTAGATAAGGCCCATACTATAGAATTCTCGTCCAGTTGAAGCTGAGGTTAGCAACCGAAGGCTGAAGGGCACCAACTAAAGCCCAAAATCTCTATCTAATCAGGCAGACATACAAAAGCACCAATGCCAAACCCACAATCACAAATTATCGTTGTCTAGCTCTAAACAGGTCAGCATATTTTTTCAATAATTAAAAATCCAATCGAAAATTGAAATTAAAATATAAAGAAAAACATAAATTTAATCATCCAATTAGGGGTCTCATTCAATACAATAACCAACTTCCAGTAAGCAAATGAATGGTCTGATATATCCTTTTGACATCAGCAAGAAAACTTACACTAGCTAGCAAGCACTACCAAAAAAAAAAGTGGCAACAGTTACCAATAATTGGTGACATTTGGTGACTAATGTGGGGGTAACTGAAGACTTTAGTCGCCAAAAAAGCATTTTTTGGTGACTTAAAGTTATCCAAAAGGGTTTTTTTTTTGTGACTAAGCCTTTAGTTACCCCCACATTAGTCACCAAATGTCACCAATTAATGGTAACTGTTATCACTTTTTTTTTGGTAGTGAAGCAAACTAACCATCACGAAGACTATAAACTATCCATTAATTTGTCTGATATATCATTGGTTGGGAATTAAGTTTAATCATTTTAATTCCCACAAACTCTGTTATAAATAATATATGCATCATCAGTTGATGAGTTGAGTCCCGCCCACTTCTCCTGCTGTTCAATAATCACATGATCATAGTCATTATGAGTTATTCTCAACAACCTCTTCATAACCCAATGCACGTAACGTTTTTTTATTTTTCATTTTATAACACAATCACCTCACTATCTATATAAAAACCCTTCATTCGTATCAATCTCTTACTCATCCACAATAATCAAAATAAAAATGGCAGCTTACACAACTTTCAAGCTCTTCCTTCTCACAGCTCTTCTAGCCTTGACTATGCCATTCTTACCCACAATTGCTCAATCTTTGAATCCTAACCTATTTCGGTCGAACCCGAACCTCGCAGCCATGTTGAATTTGGATGAAGAATCTTCCAATTGCTAGGAATCTTTGTTTCAACTCGAAGCATGTTCTGGTGAGATTGTCATGTTTTTTCTAAATGGTGAGACTTACTTGGGTCACAGCTGCTGTGAAGCCATTTGGACCATAGAGCATCAGTGTTGGCCTGCCTTGCTTGGCACACTAGGGTTTACTGCAAAAGAGACTGATGTACTCAAGGATTACTGCGATGAAGCCGATCATGTTAAATCCCCGCCGGCAAATCCACCATCACCACCATCAATTCATGATCCCATAAATGTAAAAGTTGTTCCTAATTTGGAGAAGTTGGTCCCTTGAAGAATTTGAGATCTTCAATCAATAAGAATAACGCATGGGGTCTTTAGCCACCTTAGTTACTTAATTATTCGGGTCTATTTTGTTCATCTTAATAATGTTTTAGCATGAATTAGTCGCAGTATTTTAATAGCTTAATTGGTCTCAACTTTTTTAGTATAATACCTTCTTCTTTTTTGGGTTGAGGTATAATACTATTTAAGACTATAAAAATGCATAATTTTTATTTTCTAAGTTTACCTTTATTGAATGTAATTTTTTTCTCAATAAAAAAAGGGTAATGTCATCCCCTTCTTCCATCATTACAAAACAATTATTTAGAAATTAAAAAAAAACTAAGTCTTTCTCCCTTTGTCTTCATCTTCCACGTCAAGCCCCCACCCCACCACCCCAAAACCCATGTAGTAAAAAATAAAACAGAGACATCCATCATCTCATGCGGCCAAGGCTGCCATGCCATATAATAAAGAAAAAACCAAACCCAAATCCTAAATTTCATATTATAAAAACAAATTGTATCAAATAAAACAACTGCTACTGGGTGAGTGTGGCACGGCAAAATGACTATTTTTTTCATCCAAATTTTAAAGATTATTTGGGAGAGAAAAATTGGGTTTCAATTGTAAAAATGTTTTCTAATATATTCTTTCGATAAATCTCGGAATTGATTTCTGTAGTAATAGAGAATCAAAATGGGGTCGCGCCTCCACTGCACCGAGGATTGGGTAGGGTCTGAGACGAGTTAGAGAAGGGAAGAGGGCTAAGACAAGTTGGAGCAGAGAATAAGACATGGGTTTGTTGGTGGGGTTAGTTGGGTGTGGGTTGCGGTGGGCTATGTTGCATAGACATGGGTACGGGGACACGGGAATGCGACACGGCGACACGGAAATTCTCAAAAAATTAGGACACGGACACGGCAATTAAAATAATAATTCATTCTCAATACTTTTTTTTTTGCTTAATTAATTCTCAATATTTCAACATAATTCCATAAAACAAAACAAATAACTCATTGTTCATCATCCATAAATAATAATTAAAACACCACAAAAAAGAATCATCCTTCTTGTTATTTTTCTCTTCAAAAAAACAAAAGAAAAGAATCTTCACCTCACCACCAAGTCCAACTCTTCTACTGTTATGGAGGGACATAAGAAAAGAAAATAGAAAACATAAATAAAAGCATTTGAAAACAAAGGAAAAAAAATTGCAAAAAGACTCACCTTTGCAAAAGCTGGAGAAGAGGAGAAGAGCTGCTGCAACAGAAGAAATGAAGTGAAGTGGCTGGCTGATACTTTCATGAGAGGGAGATTCACTAATATACCAAATATAGGAGCCCAAATTATAAAAAAACCTTATATGAAATGGAATTTATAAACACACCCAAAGCCCATTTACAACATAACAAAAAGGTTTTTAACTTTTTTTAAATTACCAAATTGCCATTGATTTCTTAAAACAAACCCAACCCAAAATTTCATAAAAAAACCCAAAACACTTAATAGGGCATCAAAGTAATTTGATAATTAAAATTAAATTCAATAGGACCATTTGTCATTTTTTGGGTTTTTTTTTGGTATGTTTATAAAAATGATATGATATAGGGTTTATTTATAGTTTTAGTGCTAAGAATGGGTATATTACTAAATATCTCTTCGTGAGATTCATTTAGGTTTAAAAAATTCCTTTTCCACTTTCAACCCATCTTTTTAAAACTATTTCAAATCAGTCCACTAAAGTTTCAAAAATCATGTTTAGACCCCTACTTTTATTTTCAAAATTTCAATCTGGTCCCTGCCGTGTCGGAGCCGTGTCTTGACCTTGTCGGAGCCGTTGACCGTGTCGAAGGCATGTCGGGGGCGTGTCGGAGCCGTGTCGGCGTGTCCGACACT